TCTGTTAATTCCTACTCTGATTTCCAGTTACCTAGCAAAAAAAAAAAAAAAATCAAGGTCTGTGTAGAAGGTCCAAGTTAATAGAAGTGAGAAGTCTGTCAGGAGAAGTGGATTATAGATAAGATTTTTTAACTGGGGTGGTGAAAGACTAAGGAAGGAAATGTTGTAAAGGACAAGAGAAGAAAGTGGAGAGGAAATGTCTGGAAGAGGAAGCAGAAGAAGCTGCACCATGGTCAGCTGTGAGGGTGGAAATGAAGTTAAACCAGGAAAAGACTTCCATTTGTTCTGGGTATTAGATAAATGGCATCATCAGGAATTGGCCCAAGGTCAAGGCATTTCTGTAAATAAATGGTGACAAAGTTCTAAAGCCACAATAACTTGTGTATTTTTACTTGTGTCACTCAGTGTGGGCTTTGATGTCAAACAGCAGCTTCTGGTTACATTATTAAAGCTATTATAAATTCTGGGATTATCTTGGCATTAGACTGTAGTTTTTTTCTCCCCAGAAGTTCGTGATTTTGGGGGAAGGGATGATCCAGGCAGAAAAATTGGCATTTTATGTGTAAAAAACATGAGAAGTGGGTTTTATGCAATAGTTCTGAGCACCTTTGCTGTTGCCAGCAGATGTCACTGTGGATAGCAAATCCCAGCACTTAGGAGACAAAGGAGGTAATTTGCTAAATGAAAATTCAGCCTTTGAAAGTAGACTGGGGGGGGAGTGGGGGGGAGGCAAGAATATTTTCCCTGCAACAGACTTCTGTGAGCAAATAAAAATGGGTTTCTCACTAACGAGGACTTGTGGTTTTGCCCACTCTAATGCTGTGTTTGGTGGCTGTCTTCACCCGACCTGGGTAAGTTCCTGGTGCTCTGTGTGACCTCGGAGGGGGTGTCCATGGGATTGTGCTCCTGCTCAGCTTTATTTGGAAAGCCTTTAGTGCTTGGAGGGAGCTTTAAGCAGCAGTGATGTGCTGCAGTGTGTGTGTGTGCAGGGAACTGGCCGTGGAGGAAGTGGCTTCATTAAGGTTGATTTGGAGGGGGGAGCAAGATGAGGAAAAAAATTGCCCAAATGATTGGCTGGGAGAATAGCTCTGAATTATGGGATCCATCTGTTTCCTGTAATGAATTCATAAACCCATCAAACAATGACCTGAACGAATTGCTGAAGGAAAAAAATAATACACTGGCATGATATGTTTAACGCAGTGAGGCATTGGCATTGTATAATCAAAAATTCTCCTCACATCCAGCACTTTGTAATGGAGCTGCTGTGTTTAATAGAAGCTGTAAATAAATCCTGTCACAGTAGCAGCCAAGAATGCATTTCTGGTTTAACTGTTTCTCTTCTGGAATGTCTGGTCCTCGAAGGCTTTAGAAATGCAAGTTTTATAGAGCTGGAGTGGGGGATTCTGAAATACAGAGAAATGTTAATGAGGTGAATGAAAGGAAAAAGCTGCCATAAATCAGTATTATGTGGCTTAACCAGTTTCTTTCATTTATGCATGTTCTTTCCTTATGTCATAGAAATGTACTTAAAAGCTATTGTTGTAATTGAAATCTGTTAGACTGATCCTATTCATTATATTAATAAAATCCACCTACAATTGCTTGTAACACTTTTTTATGCAGTTGGGATTCCCGAGATTGTAATCATCAAAAAGCATATGGAGTAATTATTGGATTTGTTTGGGTAAAATTGGATTAAGAAGTTTAGATACCATTAAGTACTGATAATTATTACAAGCAAGCTCATTGTTTAGTGTGTGTACAGCTCGGAATGGAGAGTAAGCAGATACCCATCACAAACATCTTAAGAGCAAGCAATCTCAAGGCTTTCATTTTACGCCTTTAATTGTATTTTTGCAAGAGCCTTTCCACTTAAATGTTTTTGCTTTAGCTCTTTAATCACGTGCTGGTTATGAAAACCACTGGGTGTTAAATCCTTTCCCCCACACGATTTAAACAACATTTTTTGCATGCAGGCAAATTTAGCCATTAAACAGCTAAAATGGCAAATTTAACCATAAAATGGCTAAATTCTGTGCTTCATTCCTGGCTTTCCAGCAGCTGCCCACATGCCATTAGCAGTGACAGTGGATTCCTTGCAGGTGGAAGGGTGGGCAGGCTGCTCCTGGGGCTGCCAGGGCTCTCTGCAGGTTGGCAGCTCAGCCCTTGGGGCTGATTCAAGCAGAGCTCCCAGTGGGAGAGGCTCACAGTGCCCACAGTGGGGAAAACCCTTGGTGGGCTCTGCAACCTTGGTGGGTTCTGCAAGGGGCACCCACGGTGGCAGGGGTGCAGCCCTGCAGGCAGGGGAATGGCTCAAGGCTTTATAAAGATGTTATTGCCAGTGTCAGTTCAGAATTAGGACAGCCAGGGCAGACACTTTAGGAACATTTGGTATTTCTCACAGTGCATATCGAGTGAAAATTGCTGGTTAAACATTGCTGAGGATGGCTTTCAGAACACAGTCGTATTGTCTTTGTAATATATATTCTCTAAGTATTGTTGCTGTGTTTGAAGTCTGAATTCCAGTCTGGTATGAAGCTGGAATTTAGGGCTCAATCCCATTCGTGTGATGTTGTTCACTCTTGTTGCTTTATTCCCTGTCATTGGTGTAATTAAACAGTTCTTTTCCAGCTACCATGGTTTGTCGACATAGTATTCTTGCAAGAGCTTCCATTTAAGTGCACTTTAAAGAGATTTTGATATACAAAATAAACATTACTTTGCTGTGTTGATTAGAGAAAAAAACAGCAGCATGAATATGCAGAAATATTTTAATTCTTAAGTACAGTGATATTCTTATTTTCTTTGTTCATTTCTCTCATCTGTGATTCAGATATGTAGAGGGAACATTGAGTCTAACACTGGGAAAATGGGTTTCTCTGGCCTCACCTTTGTGATGAAACACCTTTGCTAGTTTACATTAAAGTGAAAATTGTTGTCTATTCTATGACTTAGTGATAGACTAGTGATTACTGATTTTTAAAAAACAAATACATCTATATGCACACCTCTTTGGAAGTATCAGATATTTTATATATATGCACAATACTGAGAACACAATACATTTTAGAAATCTGCCTGTCTTGTTCTCTAAAATATGCTTCCAATTAATTAATATTCCTCATGAAAATCTTGGGGCCAGACAAATCCCAGCTCTGCTGGCATCGTGCCAGCGAGTGATTTCCATTCTCTTGTCCTTTTCCTCCTCTTCCCTGGCATTCCCTCTCATCTGCTGGCACCAGGGGGTGTGTGCCTGGTCTGTCAGCCGAGCTGGAGAAGCTCCCTGGCTGCCATGGTGGGTTATTTTGGGTTGATCAGCCTGTGTCTGCAGTGCTCTGGGTGAACCTTGTGGTAAATGACTTTGCAGAAATCCCGAGTCCTTCAGATCTCACTGTTTGTAAATGTTTGCATCTCTGTGGTGGTAGTGGTAGTAGAGGTAAATGCTTACGTTGTTGTAACACTAGCAGAAGAAATAGCAGCTAAAACAAACCCTTTACAATGGAGTCAGGCTTATTTTCTATCAGGTGAATGTTCTATTTGTATTGTGGAAATGGAATAGTTTTCACATGTATGTTGAATATGCAGATTTGGTATTTGAAAATAATTACTCTGCATACCACAATACTTTATATCTACTTTTAAAATTTGAACGTAAGGATAGACTTTGTTTCCAAAGGTGATTGTGTATTTTGAAAAGATAAGGAAGGTTTGTTCTCTGCTCTTCAGGTATTAGTAGTACTTCAAATTTTTAAATATATATTTCCTTTTTTATTCAGGCAGAATCACAGGTGATATTACTTAGGTGTACAAAACAAATAGCTTGGAGAAGTGAAACACTGATGGTTCTGCCAGACTTTTTGGCATATTTTTGCTTGCTCAAGTCCCAGCTTGTTTTGAACCCACCCTTGGCGTTCCCTTGGTGCTGTTCACTGCTGCAGCTGTAGAAGTTGTTCTGTTTTCTAGGTGTGTCAGAGCCTGGAGAGAGGCAGAGTGTGGCTTTGTGGTGGCTGTGACAGAGTTCAAGCTACATGTGAACAGCTTTTTTGGGCACAAGGTGTGACTCCTGGGGAGGGTCCTGTGTGGGACCAGTCCTTGGGGGACAATCCTTGTGTGTCCTGTCCCACTCAGCATATTCTGTGACTGAATGAGCTGGAATTTTGCACTTGTTGGACGTGGCTTGTGATGAGCTGGAGCAGTGCTTGGTTCTGTTCATCCCAGAAGAGCTCAAAGAGTTTCTCTGGGTGACCAAAGAGCTCTGGAAGCTGATGCCACCAGGTGAGCTGAGCCAGAGCTCCATTGCCTGGATGCTGCCATCGTCCAGCGCCGTGCCCACTCCCTCCTGCCTGTCCCTGGGTCACTCGTGCCAGGTGTGGAGGCACATTCCAGGTGTGCCTGGCTGGCTCATTGCAGGCTGGGTTAGTGTGGGAGGGATCAGATGCATGCCTGGAGTGCAGATGTTGGTGGCTGAGATGTCCTAAGTGATGGTAAGGTTTGGATAAAGACTACAAGAAACCCGAAGTTTGTGTCAGTGCCGAATAAGCTGGTGGATCAGGTGTTTTAGCTTGGTTTTTTGGGACCTTATTAGAAGACTGAAAGTGTGGATCAAGTGTTTTAGCTTGGTTTTTTGGGAGCTTATTGGAAGACTGAAAGTGTTGCATGGCTGTAGGCCCTGGGATTTGATGTTAATATTGGCAAGGTTGCCCTCAAGACTGCTGAACTAAAAAGGCAGTGGAGGAGCACTCTTCCAAACTGAATTGTCAAAGCTTTCTTTTGTCCTCCCTCCTGTTTTAAACCATACAGATGATTTGTTTCAGTAGGGTGTCAAAGCTTCCAGTACCACCACAGAAAATAAACCTACACAAAAACTAACACACTCTGCCAACTTTTCAGTAGCTGCAAAACACCGCTTTACCAATTACAATAAAAAAAAAACCAAACCAAAAACCTGATAGCTTTTCAGATCCTAAACCAATGACGATTATTTTCTTTTTTCCTAGTGCCAGAACCTATTAAGACCAGTTTAAGCCAGCCCCAACCTGCCGGTACCGGTACCAGTACTTCCACCAGCACTCTCACCAACAGCAGCAATGGCAAGCGCGCGTCTGCCAACGGGCAGCAGCCGGCGGCGTCCCGATACCTGCCCCGAGAGGTGCCTCCCCGCTTCCGCCAGCAGGAGCAGAAGCAGCTCCTAAAGCGGGGGCAGCCGCTGCCCGCCGGGGCGCTCAGTGCCCCCGGCCCGGCGCCGGGCACGGCCGCCGCGGGAGCCAGCCCTCCTCCTCCTCCTCCTCCTCCTCCTCCTCCTCCTCCTCCTCAGCAGGGAGCAGCAGCGCAGCAGCATCCCGGCAAGGCGCAGCCAGGTGAGAGCTGCCCCCTGCACCGTCAGCGTTGTTTGCAAATGCCGTTTTCACCTTCCGTGCCAAGTGCCATTGT